GGGGGGGCGGGGAAGGAAGGGCAGGTGCTGCTCTTGGTTTCTGCTCCCAGCTGAGCCAGGGGTGAGCCAACTTGTCAAGGGCTTGGCGCTGGCCCCTCCCGCACAGCCAGCCTAGGGAAGTCAGTTAACCTCTCTGGTCACTTTCCTCGTGTTTAACGTGAAGAGTTGGGCGAGATGCTCTCAGCTCCCCTCCAGCTCACTCTCCCCATCCTCCCCCTGCACGCTGCCCTCCCCCACCTCCTGACCTCAGGCCCCATTTCTCCTCCCCTAGTGTGCACCAAGGGTCAGGTGGTGAGTGGCCAGTACCGGATGCTTGCGAAGCACGGGGGCTACGTGTGGCTGGAGACGCAGGGGACGGTCATCTACAACCCTCGCAACCTGCAGCCCCAGTGCATCATGTGTGTGAACTACGTCCTGAGGTGAGCGTGTGAGGGCTGGGTGGGCACAGGCTGGGGGGCAGGGTGCTCCTGAGACTGAGGGCACAGAATGCCGAGCCTTTCAGAACCCGGCACCACATCGGCAAGCTCTTTTGTAGTGGGCGTCCTGGGAACAGTGGAACACTGGGATTTCCCCTTTACAGGCTTTTTCTGCCCCTTCCCCCTTTGTCATCTGTCATGCCTCTCACCCACGTGGGGAGGCAGCTAGAACACAGTCGTCACTTAAGTGCTTTCTGAATGGGAGCCAAGGGAAGAGAACCACGGTTACTTTTTGGGAGAAGATGTAACACCTTTGCTCGGTAGCGCCTGGGAAGAAAGCTAGAGAAAGTCATTGCTGGGGTGCAACAAAAGCAAAAGCCTTCAAATCTCATGCATACCACGCAGCCCACGTGCGATATTAACGCAGCATCCAAGACAGATACATACTCAGCGGGTGCTCTACACGTCGCTAGCTCCACGACTCCAAACTTCCAGTGCACGGTTCTTTACGGAGTGCCAACACACTGTCCATACCCGTGTTTTTGTCTGAGAGGCTTAGCTATCAGGACTTCCATGTGTCTGGAGAGTAAAAGGGTTTTGCTGGAAAATGTGGACGGTCTGAAGTTCGCTCTTGTCCCACCAGTGAGATTGAGAAGAACGACGTGGTGTTCTCCATGGACCAGACGGAGTCCCCGTTCAAGCCGCACCTGATGACCATGAACAGCATCTTTGACAACAGTGGCAAGGTGGCTGTGTCTGAGAAGAGCAACTTGCTGTTCACCAAGCTGAAGGAAGAGCCCGAGGAGCTGGCCCAGCTCGCACCCACCGCGGGAGATGCCATCATTGCTCTGGATTTCGGTGGGTGCTTCTAAGCTGGGCCAGGGCCTGTCGAACCCTCTTGGGGTGGGGGGAGGCCTCCGGCCACAGCTCTTCCTTAAGCAGAGCTGCCATATGCCTTGCCTAAGTCTTGCTGATCATCCGTTGGTGGCCAGACCCTATGCTGGGCACGTGCACTCACCGCAGCATAAGACCCGTCCTATTTCTGACCTCGTAAAGCGCTGAGCGGGGGCGGGTGGTGGTGGTCGGGGGTGGGGGTGGCGGGTTCTGGTCGATTCTCCACCGTGGGGAGAGGGGAGCGTGAGACAAGAGAGTGGGGTAGCGAAGGATCTGCTCCGAGGCCACGGGCATCTTTCCACAGGGTGGGCAGATCTCCCATCTGCACCTTGAAGGACAGATTGCTTGTTTAGGCAGAGGCCTGCTAGGTTGAAGTAATGTTGGGAGAAATTCTTCCAGAAACGTGGATGGAGAAAAGATTCAGGCCCAGGAGTAAGCCCTCGAATGCACTTCTTTAAACGTTTGCCTGTCCCATGGGGATGTGAGTCCGGGTGGCCCCAGCGGAGTTGTCAGCTCTTGGAACTGTGCTCTGAACGCGGGAAGCCCCTTCTTCCCCACGTTGCAACCCACGGTCACCCCCCAGCCTTGCTGTGGCCGCTCAAGGAACAGCTACACCTCCCTGTGCTTGCTCTGGACTGGCTCAGCCCCGTTAGGTGTGTTGTGAGAGGCCACCGGGGAACGGTGATCTCAGCGAATCACAGAGAGCAGCCCTGGGACAAGGAGCCACACAGCTTCCCAGTTTCGTGGCAGTAATGAGGCAAATTGCCCAGTTTTCATAACCACCTTCTCTACGTTCTGGATTTTGCCCTTCAGGGAAGAGCGGCTCCTAATACATTTAGTCTCTGAAAACTAAAGGCTCCAGGAGGGTGTTCGCATTAAAGGGAGTCTGTACATTGAACCCCAGCCCCAGTTGAAGGCCCCTTTGTCCCAGCGAAGCCTCAGCACACGGGGGGGCCGAGCCCCAGGCACGCTGCAGGCCCTTTTAGGATCACTTGTGCATCCTTCGTGCTTCCTCTGCCCTGGGGTGAGCCCAGCAGTTGCGGGGGCGAACCAAGCCCGGCCCTTGTCTCCACAGGGAGCCAGAACTTTGAGGAGTCCTCAGCCTATGGCAAGACCATCCTGCCGCCAGGCCCGCAGTGGGCCGGAGAGCCCAGGAGCCACGGCGCCCACACTGAGGCCGGGAGCCTGCCCGCCTTCACCGTGCCCCAGGCAGCCGCCCCGGGGAGCACCACCCCCAGTGCTGCCAGCAGCAGCAGAAGCAGCAGTAGCTGCTCCACGGTGAGCGCCCCCTGGGGCTGAGGCCATGGAGAGGGTGGGCTCCTCCTCTGGCTGCTGCCGGATGGCTGAGTGGACAGGCCGGACCCGAGTCCTGCCCTCCTCCTACTCAAGAGCCCCCTAGGGGGGCTGTGATACTTACTTGCCACGCATCAGAGCTGTACGCTTGCTCTCAGTACCCATCCACCCCCATCTATGTGATCAGGTCCTTGACGACAGGGGCCGGGTGGCACACAGCTGTGAGCCCCGAGCTCAGTCCCCATGCGGGGCAGTAACCATCCTGCGGGGGGCACAGAGCCACACAGTTTGCAGAGCCCGGCCAGCCATGCCTCTATCCTGTTTGTTTGCTGTTCAAGACAGCCTCATTTTATGACGAGGAGACTGAGCTCAGAGAGGCTCACACAGCTCCTAGGGCGTGGCTTCTTTACAAATTCCTATTCCGTGGAATAGAGTTGAATCTGTGGGTCCAGAAACGTATTTCTCCTCCTACCTTGGCCTTCTGGGGAAGCCAGTACCGTAGCCTTGACTTGGTCACCTTCCTTCCTGCCCCCAGCCCAGCAGCCCCGGAGACTATTACACATCTCTGGATGACGATCTGAAGATTGAAGCAATCGAAAAGCTCTTTGCCATGGATACAGAGGCGAAAGACCAGTGCAGCACCCAGGTAGGTGGCCGTGGGGAAGACTGGAGTGGCGGGCCAGGCCTACCAGCTGCTGGTGGTGAAGGCCGAAGTCTCTTCTTGCAGCCTCAGCCCTTTGTTGCAAAGACTAGTGGGAATGCTTGGCCCAGGCCACAGTCCCGTAACTGGGTGAGGGTGCAGGGAAACGGAGCCTGTGGTCGTCTGCTTCTCTCCCTTCTGCCCTCTGCTTTACCCGTGTCACATCCAGCTCTTCTGCTCTTAACTCTCGATATATTTATGTCCTGCTAACTTGGATATTTCTTAATGCACATGAAAACGAAAACTACAACTGAACCTTTCTTTAAAAAGCATACCCAGATGTATACGACTTTTGTAAGCATAGGGAACAATTATTCCCTTTACAAACATTTCCGTTTTAGGAGTCTTTGAAATAACTTATTTTAAATGCATTTTAAAATGACATCTGACTGACAAATTTTTGTTTACACGTAAAGGCCCAACGTCTTGTAAAACCTGTGTAAACAGGCTAGGGTGTGGGTAGATGGGTATGTGGGTCACAAAACCCGAAGGAAAATCATTCATCCCCATTTATTCATCCAGAGTTCTGCCTTGCCTCCTCAGTTTGTATCTTTGTTCTGCAAAACTTTCCCTATTTCTCCCCTGCACTTTCTTCTCTGAACTCCTATAAGATTTATTACTTAGTATTTGGTTATCACTGTCTGCTTCTGCTCTTTAGCCATTTCAGGTGGTTGTAATCGGCTGCCTCCTCCCAGTGAGGGCTGAAACACTTATTTTTCTGCGTCTGCTTGTGAGAATTCCCTACGGTGTCCATCATGGTAGTGGGAACCTGCGGGTCCATGTCTGAGTCCTTGTTGATCAGAATGAAGGTCCCACAGGTAGCACTGGGCCACGGTTACCCTATGAGCAGTCCACCGATACACCCTGGGCATGTGAGGTGATGGAAGACAAAGCTGCCCTTGGCCCCCTGGGAGCCATCGTGCTCACCGGAGTGGGCAGGGATGGCTTCGTGGAAGAGGTGGTGCCTGCCCAGCGTGTGGGAGTGAAGGCTGGGCTCGGACTGGGAGACAGGAGAGCATTTTGGGCTGGATGGGGGTGGTGGCACCAGGGGGTGTGTGGAAGGATGCCTGAGTGGAGACTCAGATGACTGCGGATTGGTGGCACAGGCTGACCAAGGGAGAAAATGCACGGGAAGCTGCCGGCGCCTGCCGGGAGACCTTGCGCACTCAACGGACACATCTGAGTATTCTTCTCCTGGGCCCTGAAGGCCTTAGCACTGTCAGGCCGTGCGGGAGGAAGGCCTCGGGCAGGGGTGGGGTGGGGAGGACGAGGGGCTAAGATGGAACAGTATCCCTGAGGCAGCGCCAGCTGCTGAGCTGCTTTGCCTGTGGTCTGTGTCTCCTCAGATGGACTTCAATGAGCTGGACCTGGAGACCCTGGCGCCCTACATCCCCATGGACGGGGAGGACTTCCAGCTCAGTCCCATCTGCCCCGAGGAGAGCCTCTTGCCAGAGACACCCCAGTCCACCCCCCAGCACTCCTTCAGTACCATGTCGAACATCTTCCAGCCACTGGCCCCGATGGCCTCTCACAGCCCCTTCCTCCTGGACAAGTATCAGCTGGAAAGCAAGAAGATAGAGCCCGAGCAGCGGCCTGTGTCCTTCATCTTCTTCGACGGTGGGAGCAAGGTGTCCCTGCCACAGTGCTGTGGCCAGTCCTGCACCCCTCTCTCCTCCATGGGGGGCAGGTCCAACACACAGTGGCCCCCTGATCCGCCCTTACACGTGGGGCCCACGAAGTGGCCCGGCGAAGATCACGTGGAGCCCTTGGGGGCCTCGCCCTTGGGGCCCCCCGGCACTGCACCCCATCTCTCCGTGTTCAAGAAGAGGTAAGTGGCAGAGACCCTCGGCTGCTTCGGCAAAGGCTGTGCTGTACAGGGAGGGGACAGACAGGCGCCCCGAAAGGCCCCCCGCCCCATCACCAATTCCCACTCCACAGGGGTCTGATACTCCACTCAGCCCTTCTCAGAACTTTGAGAGCTTGGGCTTTAGGGGACTCGCCCCTAGGTATGTGCGGCCTCGAGTGGGACACGTTTTATCTGGGCTGGAGGACACCAGGAGGGGCCTGTGGCCAGGGAGAGAAGGAGCTTGTCCAGGGCCCTGAGCACCAGTGGCTCTCCGGACCACCCCTCAGAGCGCCTTGTTTTATGCAGAGCTCGTGGGTTGAGCCGCACAATACCCACACGCACAACACGGAGGGATGGTTCCTTGGCTCGGCCGTGGAAGCCAGGAAAGCGAAAAGATGCCCGTGCCTTCCCCCTGCCTTTGGCTGCCGGGGTCCAGCACCCCCACCCCCCCACCCCACCCTGCCTTCCCCCAGCTCCTCCCCATCTCCACCCACACGTCCCTTCCACCCACTGGGAGCTCACCTCAAGCTCCCGGGGCTCATTGATTAGGCTTCCTCAGGGCCCTTGCCTTCTACAGAGCCCCCTCGCTGGTTCTTGGTGGGGGGGCAGTCCAGGCAGGGCAGGGGCGACAGGGCCGCCGCAGCAGCCTTCCCAAAGACTGCCGTCACGGAGCTGGGCGGCCGCAAGCCAGGACTGGAGGCTGCCCGGGTACGGGCGGGCACGTGTGGAGGGAGGTGCAGGTGCCCTGAACCCTCAGCATCTCACCAGGTAGAGGGCACTGTGGAAGGAAGGAGAGCCGGGGCCTCAGGCCCACCGCCCCTCCTCCAGGACTCTGCCCTTGGGGTCTTGGAGCCACCACGGCCATGAGTGTTCGTTCTGGCAGGGCCCTGGGTGTGTGGGGCTCCAGACTCCCTCACGCCCGTCTCTTGGGCTTGGCAGGTCTGCAAAGGGCTTCGGGCCTCAGGGCCCAGACGGGATGAGCCCGGCCATGGTCGCCCTCTCCAACAAGCTGAAGCGGCAGCTGGAATACGAGGAGCAAGCCTTCCAAGACATGAGTGGGGTGAGCGCCGCCCCTGGGGAGGCCGGCTGGGGGCGGGGGCTGAGCACGGAGAGCCAGGCTGGCGCGGAGCGCTGCCCCCCTCACCCTGACGCAGTTTGAGGACCCGGGTCCCTGGCCTCTCCCCTCAGCCTCTGCACTTCCACACCCAGGGGGATCCACCAGGCAGCAGCCCTTCACATTTGATGTGGAAAAGGATGAAGAGTCTCAGGGGCAGTGGGAACTGCCCCCTGATGCCGGACAAGCTGCCGAGCGCAAACGTCCCCAGTGGTGAGCACAGGCCTGGGCCTCCTGGGGCACTGGGGGAAGGCGTTTGCCGGTGGAGGGGCTCGGGGCCCACCCTGGCTCCCCACTCCCTCCCCGCCTGCCCCTCCGAGCCTTGCTAGGACAGGAGGGTGTCTCCACCCCCCCTTCCCCCTCTGGCCCGGGGGCCGCCGTCAGAAATCTCTGGGCTCCTTGCGTGAAGGAACAGGGACACTGGGGGGTCACGGTCTCTCCCCTCACTGTCTGACACTGGCCTCTTCCAGATGAGTTCATCCGAAATCCCGTGAGGGGCGCGAGCCAGCCCCTGAGACACTTAACACCGCCACAGCTGCCATCTGCCGTGAGGCCCGGGGAGCCCGCCAAGAGTGGGTTCCTCCCGCATTGTTACACCCCCCAGTACCAGGACTACAGCCTACCAGCGGCTCACAAGGTGTCAGGTGGGTGCGCTCAGGAATGCGGGCACTGTTCCAGGGCCTGCTGGGTTTGGGAGGGCGTGGGCCAGGGGACGGACAAGGCAGTGGGTCTCAGCTCAGCACCAGGATGAACCTGCTCGTGAAAGGCAGCTGCCTTGAGAAGGGCGAGCCCTAAGTACTGCAGCAGGGGCTGGAAGGCCACGTGTCCACAGGGCTCGAGAAGGAACCCTCCACTAACACTAACCAGGTGACACCCGGGGCTCTTCCGCCTTAAGAGCCCCCGAGCCTATGCCTGCCTTTTGCTCAGTTCTTCACAGTACCGCCTACCGCGGGCATCACTCTGAGCTCAGGCAGGAGCTGGGCTGAGGACGTGCTGCTGGGAGGGGGGCCAGTCTGCTCGGGGAAGAGTCACCCTCCTGGACCTTGCTTTCTGGGAGGACTGGCCACCTTAGTCTGTTACCATCTTGTGAAATGTAGATGTTGTCATGGAAAGGTTGGTATTTAAACATGAACATAACTTGTAGTTTGGGTGAAACATGCTGGACCCCTGCCCTAAAAAAGAGAAATTTCCTCAGCAATATGGTTTGGGGGCAAACTGCTGCTCCGTGCTTCAGAGCTTTAGAGTCACAAGACAGGCCTGCGCTAAAAATTCTGCTCGTTACCAGCTGGAGGACGGAGCAGGCCACACATTTAACTAAGGGGCTTGCGTGCAAAGTGCAGAGTTCGTGGATATGTTTGCATTAAGTGGGAGCCAGCATTATCATCCCTGCTGTGCACCCAGGAGTTTCCTTGAGTGGAAACTCATCCTTTTCAGGGGAAAAATAAATAATATTCTTTTTTAAACTCAGGTCGTTTCTTAGGGTGAGTAAAAAGAAGGGGGGATTAGAAAGGGCTGGTGAGCAAGTATCCGTTGCTACTGTGGTGCTGCAGGGAGGCGTGAGACCCGTCCACGAGGGAGCAAGATTGAGTGGGGGGGGGCAGCATGGGGGGCTGGGAGGGGGGCCAGGGATGAGGTGCTGCAGCTAAGCCAGGGGAAGGGAGAGCGGGCACCTCGCGTTACTGGGGCCGATGAAGGGCTTCCGGGGCCGCCTCCAGGAACCTGGGCCTGCTCTTCCCGGGAAGTGGGGTTTTGGGTGCTGGGAGTCTCCCCTTCGCAGCATGAGAGAAAGAGGGGCTGCCAAGGGTGGGGATCCTGAAACTGGAAGTCCGGCCCTTGAAGGACCTGTGTGTGTGTGTGTGTGTGTGTGTGTGCGCACACGTGTATATGCATGTGTGTACGTGCGTGTAAATGTGTGTGTGCAAGTGCGTGCAGGCACCAGCTGGTTCAGAGCTCCCTCTCTCCGTTCGGCCTTTCTTCCGGCTGCCAGTGCACAGTGGGCACGGGTCAGTTGGCAACCCCGAGCCTTGCCCAGGCGCTGGCTCGCGCCTCCACCGCCCAGGCCAGGAGGCCTTCGTGGCCGCTCCTTCCATCCAACCTCCCTGTCCCCTGGACATTCCCTGCTCTGTCTGCACTGCACACTCTCCCCCGCCGGGGTCTCAGCCCCTCTCACCTGATGGGATGGAGACGACATGCTTTCTGCTGGGTCCCTGCTCTCTGCATGGGCTGGGTCACTAGGGAAA